AATATTTGAACAACTTCTGTGAGGAATGAGAAAAATAAATAAATCCAGGAATGGGCTGACTAGAGTAGAAAAAGAGAGGGTTTCACTAAGTCAAAGAATGTTTAGTTGAGGTGGTGGTCAGAGATAAAATTTCTGAATTTAAGTTCTCAAAGCCAGAGTAAAGGGTCATTCACTGATGGTAAAGATGATAATGATAACATTCATTGAGTATATTAGAAAATTAATTGTATCTAGTTATAACCACTGTTATCACCATATCACAGAGGAGAAAACTGAGGCCCTAATTAATTTCCAATAAAAAGTTTTTTCATATGAATTGACAAGATGACCCTGAAATTCACAGAGTAGTAAAGGGCCAGGCATTCTCAATGCAATTTGAAGAAAACAGGTGGGGAAGCTTATCTTGCTAGATATTAACACTTACTTACATAGTTGCAGCAATTATGACAGTATGGTATTGTTACAGAGGTTATAGAAGTACAGAAATGGAAGAGAATAAGCAACCCAGGAATGTGTGGAAACCTGATTTGAGATAAGTGACGTTACAAACCACATACACAAAAAGTTTAATTCTCTAATAAATGGTGCTAGAACAATTAGTTGTTTGTATACAAAATAGTAACCCGTAAGAGTAGATCCCGTCCTCATGCACAAAAAATAAATATTGGGTTGAGTAAAGCCCTAATATGAAGAATATAAGGTTAAAACTTTTAGCAAAAACACGGATGAATACTTTTGTGATTTAGGGGTAGAACAAGATTTCTCAAAGAAGACTCCCAGAACACAAATTACAAAGAAAAAGACGAGCCGGGCGCAGTGGCTGACGCCTGTAATCCCAACACTTTGGGAGGCTGAGGCAGGCGGATCATAAGGTCAGGAGATCTAGAGACCATCCTGGCTAACACGATGAAACCCCATCTCTACTAAAAATACAAAATATTAGCTGGGCATGGTGGCACACGCCTGTAGTCCCAGCTACTCAGGAAGCTGAGGCAGGAGAATTGCTTGAACTCAGGAGGCAGAAGTTGCAGTGAGCCAAGATTGCACCACTGCACTCCAGCCTGGGAGAACTGCAGTCCAGCCTGGGAGACAGATTGAGACTCCATCTCAAAAAAAAAAAAAAAAAAAAAAAAAGAAAAGAAAAAAAAAGAAATAAAAGAAAAAAAAAAAGGACAAATAAAGTTGACTACACCTAAACCAAATTTCAGTATTAAAAAAGACATACATGGCCATGCGTGATAGCTTATGTCTATAATTCCAGCACTTTGGGAGGCTGAGGCAGGCAGATCATGAGGTTAGGATATGGAGACCAACCTGGCTAACACAATGAAACCCCATCTCTACTAAAAATACAAAAAATTAGCTGGGCATGGTGGCACACGCCTGTAGTCCCAGCTACTCAGGAAGCTGAGGCAGGAGAATTGCTTGAACTCAGGAGGCAAAGGTTGCAGTGAGCTGAGATTGTACCACTGCACTCCAGCCTGGGAGACAGATTGAGATGCTGCCTCAAAAAAAAAAAAAAAAGGAAAGAAAAGAAAAAAGACAAAAAAGGACGAATAAACTTCACTATGCATAAACCAAATTTCAGTATAAAAAAAGACATACATGGCCAGGTGTGATAGGCTCAGGCGGGTGAATCACAAGGTCAGGAGTTCAAGACTAGATCAGCCTGGCTAATATGGTAAAATCATGTCTCTACTAAAACTACAAAAATTAGCAGGATGTGGTGGTAGGCATCTGTAGTCCCAGTTCCTTAGGAGGCTGAGGCAGGAGAATGGCTCTAACCTGGGAGGCGAAGGTTGATCACACCTATGTAACCAACAAAGTAGTATTTTCCAGAAAACATGTACTAGTGAAACTGATAAACAAACTAATGGCACAGTGGGCAAAGATGTCAAGAGAAGTCTAGTAGGCATTTAGAATTAGCCTCCTAGAATTGAGATTAGCTCAAATAAATCTGGGCTGAAAATAGAGATTTGGGCTATATCAACTTAATGATCATATTTGAATTTGGGGCACTAGATGAACTAATGGGAAAAAAACATAAAAGAAATAAGTCTTGGGCCTACCTAGGACACAAAACCCACACAGGCAGACGATTACTGATCCTCACTCAAGTGCTTGAAAGTAAAAAATGACTCCTTTAACTGTATTTACATATTTACTTTATCTTGACTTTTCTGGCCACAGTTTCTTTATGTTTTTTAAACATGGAGTCTAAAAACACTATCTCATAAGGTGGTCAGATAAGCCTGTTACTTCTATTTAGAACAATATTATCTTTAGATCATGTTGCATGTACAGCCAAGAAGACAGGGTTGTGGAAATGAAATACAAATGTAAAAATAAGAATGAAAACAGGATTTAAATTTTAAAGTAAAGGAATTTAAGAAAATATTCCTTATAAGTGGATAATAGGGATTTTTTAAATTGGTGGGGTTAGGAATTATCTCCTTTTATACATTAGCATAACTCATATAATGGATCAGAATAGCTAATGCATGATCCACACCTCTGAATTTCAAGGCCTCTCAAAAAAGTTTTATCTGTACAGACTTGCATTCACTATATTTTTTTCTACTTGAAAATAGCAAACCAGCTATTTCACATAAACTGCTAAGAGGAAGGAAGCCAGACATTAAAAATTACGTACTGTATAATTAGGTATACATGAGGGTCAAAAACATGCACAGCAATACGGAATAGCAGTAATGGTGGTATATGTGGTTAGAAGGGGCACTTTTTAAAAAGCCCTCTGTTGAACATTCTATATATTGATGTGGGTGGCGGTTACCTGTAACTGTACATTTGGCACTTAAGTATTTCACTATGTCATATCTTTAAACTGAGGTATGTATTTTTTAAATTCTTTAAAGAAAAACTGCGTAGAGGTCTTAAGAAACCAGTTCTTGAGACACGACAATCACAAACATTAAATTTATACAGTCTAGAGAATGAAAATTTGCTTTTAAAAAATTCTTTCCTTTTCTCACTATAAAATACTCAGGGGAAAAATGAACTCAACCCAGCACATCTTGCCCTGGTCAAGATGACAGATCCTCTAAGAGAAGAAATGAATATGTAATGGCCTTTTCCAAGCTTTTCTTCCCCTAATGTGCCCCACTTCCAACCTACCCTTACCTTAACAAGGGTGCCTAGTTGTATCCAAGGGTGCTTCTACACTAGATCCACAGAAATTAAAGATAACAGCTAACAGAATAAGGCTATTCATGTTCCATCATCTTCAGGATAAAAAAGCTCCAGGGTTTACCCCCAAACTTAAAAGTTCTCTAAAGGAAATCTTAAACATCAACCTTTTAATCATCACTTTGTATATATTTTCTTCTGTATTGACCTAGCTCAAAAACATGAATCTGTATTTAAATATCTTTGTAGAATATCCACTGTAAATTTTACTTTAACAATTTTGAACAGGTTATAATGATAGAAAATTATTCAATCTAGATTTTGGTCAACTCTCTTACTGATAGTTACTCTTTTTTAGTGAAGGACAATCACAAACACTAAATTTATGCAGTCCAGACAATGAATGATTGCTTTAAAGAATTCCTTCCTTTTCTCACTTTAAAATAAGAATACCAAGGGGAAAAAATAAAAACTATTTACTATAACTGGCTGTTACACTGTCATACAAAATAAAATACTGGACCATAGCAGTTAATTATTATATGTTGTTGGTTAAGTGGAGAACTGTAAATAATGAGAAATGTTTTAAGATATCACACGTTATTCAATCCGCAAGTGCATGACTTTGGTCATTTTGACTTCAGCCAAAATATGAAACAAAGTCACAGCAAGAAAGGTATTTCAAGGGACTGAAATTTTCTCCTCTCATCTTTCAAATATTTTAGAGATATTAATAAAAACAACGATCCAGCCTGGGCGATATAATGGGACCCTATCTACACAGAGAAAAAAATTTTTTAATTAGTTGGGCATGGCATCACACACCTGTAGTCCCAGCTACTAGGGAGGCTGAGGCAGGAGGATCCCTAAAGCCTGGGAGTTAGAAGCTGCAATGAGCTATGATCTCACCACTGCACTACACCCTGGGCAATAGAGCCTTGTATTTAAAAAAAAAAAAAAAAAAAAAAAAAAAATTAAAAATTAAAAAAAAAAAACATTCAAGAATATTTTAGATCAAACTTGCCCAACAGGATGGCTTTGAATGCCACTCAATACAAATTTGTCAACTTTCTTAAAACATTACGAGTTTTTTATTTTTTATTGTTTTAGCTAATTAGCTATTGTTAGTGTATTTTACGTGTGGTCCAAGACAATTCTTCCAGTGTGACCCAGGGAAGCCATAAGATTGGACCCCCTGCTCTAGACTTTAGCAGAAGCTTGCAACATAAGAACAACGTAAGGCTTTAGATACTTTTTATTTTTATTTTTATTTTTTAGTAGAGATAGGGTTTCACCATGCTGGCTAGGCTGTTCTCAAACTCCTGACCTCAGGTGATCCACCCGCCTCTGCCTCCCAAAGTGCTAGGATTACAGGTGTGAGCCACCGCGCCCAGCGGCTTTAGATTCTTTTACCACTTTCCCTAAGGGTTTTAACCTTAAGAACTGATCTTTGGAAGGAACTGAAAATATCTAAGGAAGGACTACTATGAATCTTCTCTGAGTGGCAAAAACTAGAGAAGGTTTTTGGAGCCAGGGCTGCAGTTAAGTTGCCAAGGGGCAGAGCTGTCAGAGCTGTAAGCAGTTCCTGGTTTAGTTAAAATACTTTAATTTTTATTTTGTTAAGCTCGAGCTTTGGGGTGAAGGAGTAAAATTAGGCACTGCGTTGGGGGCAGGGGGAGGAGGATACTCGCGGGCGACTACGCAACACTAGGGCCACAGCACCTAAACTGTAGGGGAAGAGGCGGGGCGAGAGGACACGAAGTACAGACAGCACGAGGGACTCACTCTCCGGTTAGAAAGCACTCTCACATGCTTATCTCATCTCACACAGTATCTTTTCTGCTGCCCTCCAGCATCTACAGACGTCAAAGGCCCCACAGTAGGGCCACCTTCACACCAGATTACAAGAGCCTCGGCACCCGCCCGTTCCCGTGTACGTCACTCGTCCGCCGCCAATCGGCGCCCGGCAGGTCACCTCTCCACCCAGGCCCGCCGCCCCGCCCGCCGCCCAGGCCCAGGCCGCGAGTGCCCGCCGGCCGCTTCCGCTCTCGGCGCAGGCGCTGCGGCTTGACCAGAGCGAAGGGGGCTCGGGAGACGAGCGGACGCTGCTGGCCAGGATGGTGCTGGAGAGCGTGGCCCGCATCGTGAAGGTGCAGCTCCCCGCATATCTGAAGCGGCTCCCAGTCCCCGAAAGTATTACCGGGTTCGCAAGACTCACAGGTAATCCTCCCCCGTCAGCCAGTCCCCATCCTTTCACGCTCGCCGAGCGGGGGAAGGAGATGTAAAAATCCTAGGGCTAAGGGGCGGGGCCGCGCTCGGCGCCTGGCACGTGACCCCGTGACCCCTGCGCGCAGAGGAAGGTTTGCGCGCGCCGGCGTGGCAGCCTCGGGAACGCAAGTGATGCTGCCTCCGGGTGCTTGACTGCCCTGGGTCTTTGTCCTCGGAGTTGTTTCCGGTGTCCATCTGGGGCTAGATAACCAGGTTTTTGCAGAGAGGAGCTGAGTTGGGAGCAGGCCAGTTTCTTTCATCTCCTGTCCTGCTCTTCGCTCTTTGTAGCGTACTTATTTTAAAGCGGGGTAAGTCGTCGTTATCTAAGGCGCCTTGTAACAGGCAGCCCCAGCTATAGGCTAGGTTGTACCCTCAGCGTGTGGGTGGGAGTGTGTGGGAAAGAAATACAGACTTACGGGTAACACGTATATGACCGTTTTACTTAGTAACGAAATTAGGAGATGACTTCCATTCCCTCAGGTTAGAGTTGACCTATCAATGGGGCATTTGAGGTCACCTGCGTTTCTACGGTCCCATGGCCAGTTGAGGTGACTTGAGTTGGAAGAAAGATAACCTTACCCAGAAAGTGTTCAAAGTCCGGTATGAGGAGTGAAATCTTAGAAAATGAAATTTAATGAACATAATGTAACGTTTACTTCAGGGCCCTCACTTAAAGAACCCACACTCATGAGGATTTCACATCTAAGGGATGAAAATCTCCAGAATGCAGTCAACACTTGGGAGATTTTGTTGAGTTACAAGCATTTCATTGTAAGGGGGTATGTCTAACCAGACTCGAACGAGTAGGAGAGTGAAGAAATCAGCAACTATTCAACTCCTGTGTCCTAGGTTATCAGGGAGTTGCAAACATGAATTAAGATAATTGAGGTAAATAGAGTTGCCTTGCCAGGAACGTTCTAAAGATCGTAGTACCTGACCTAAAATATAGCAGTTGCACGGGTATAAGAAAAATAAGATTTGTGTAGACTAAAATATAGAACTGATACCAAATTAACCAAATTGGTGAAGGTTATTGGGAGGTGAATTTCAGTCTAAGGAAGATTTTTTTTTATTATTAAAGAATGCTTTCCCCAAACAAATGTGGTGCTTTGCTGCTAACCCTTCTCAAAGATGAAGGAAACAAACCAACAAAAAGACTCTGGTGGTGGGTAGTACATAGATTCAGAAGGGATAAACTAGATGATAGTTACATTGTCTTCCAAATCTAGAGATTCATTGAATTATGGTCAGAGAGCTGCTCTGTTGATTGTGAGATTTTAACATTTTTTAACTATTAAGAGTTTTAGTAGAAAACATGCAGTTGAATAGAAAGCATGGTAACAATAATAAACATTAAAAAGGAACATCTAAACATCAAAAGCAATTCAAAAGTAAAATAAAGTGAAAAAGTTTCACATCAAGTGTTTATAAACATCAAATTCTTTTGATTCTACTAGTTTATTCTGACAGAACTGCAGCTATTTCATAAAATTTTGGTTTCCCCCACTGATTTCTTTTAAGTACTTTACATATTTTAATGTAATCCTCATTTTTTTCCTAACTAAATACTTATTTTAGTTTTAACATCACAATGGGTCTATACCTCAGCCAGGGGCTGCACTGCCACCCTGGGTAACTTCACCAAGGCCATCTTTCACCAAGGTTACTAACCATTCATTCTGTACAGCCGGAAATTAGGAATGTTCCTGTTATTTAAAATTCATTATGTAGTAGTTCACTGGCAAGTAACCAAATGCCAGTTGTCATATTTCTCCCTCTTGAATGTCTTCACTAAAATAGCAATACCAGGCCAAAAGGGTGTGATCGTTTTGTGACATTTGTTCACTTTTGCCAACTTACCTTCTTACTAATTTGCATAAGTTAACTGTTGAGTTTTTTCAAGAAAGGAAAATGTCCAATTAATTATGTATGTTTTTTCCAGGTGGTGGCTGCATTTTCAATTTTCTGTAGATCAAGTATAATTGAAGAAAACTAGAAAGTATGAAACTAGATTTAATGGCTAGATTTTAGAACTATCTTTTGAGGATCCCTATTGTCAACACATATTTAATTCCTATTAAAGACATTAAGAAAACTCAACCAAAACCTTTTCCCTCTTAAATCCAGCATATATAGTAACTTCCTTTTTAAAGTTGTTCAATATTTAATATGAAGACTGATTCTTAAAAATAATGACAATTCAGAGACGTATTTTAATAACACACATTTAACTTAAGTCTCATTACAGTGTGTCTATAGTTAATAGTTCTCATTTTATTAATGGTCTTTTCAGGAAACATGAACGTACTTCCAATAACTGCTTTATGAAAAAAAATGAGATAGCCTGTTTTGGATTGGACAAAACAATTGCAGAGTTTATTTTGGAGTACTATGGAAGAAAAATTTCATTGGCTATTTTCCACTCTCAGTCTCCCATTCTGAATAGATTGTAACAGTTAATGACATTTGGTTTTCTTAAATGAGTTACTTGTAGAATCCATAATGTAGGCTTGTTAAAATAAAAACCTGGAAGACAACTTTTTAGCAATTGTTTAAAATGGTCTAGGAGACCAAAAACTATTTCCATTTTCTTCTATGAAAATTAGAGCAAAAAACAATACTGTTCACATTATTATTGCCTATGTTTCCTTTCCTATTTAAATCTAGCTTTTTTTTTTTTTTTTTTTAAAGCAACTGACCCTTTTGTGATGACTCTGCATTCTTAGAAAACACATGGAGAACTTTAATTAGCATATACTAGTTAAGTACAGGCAATTCTACTTACTAGAAACAACCTATCTTCATTTATGTCACACTTTCAAGGGTGAGGCTTTCAAGATACATTACTGTGATTAATTTATATTTAACTTAGGTTTTTGTTTTATTTTGCTTTTTGAGATGGAGTCTCACTCTGCTGTTAATGTTGGAGTGCAGTTTCAGCTCACTGCAACCTCTGCCTCCCAGATTCAAGCCATTCTTGTGCCTCAGCCACCAGAGTAGCAGGGATTACAGGTGCATGCCATCATGCTTGGCTAACTTTTTGTATTTTTAGTAGAGATGGGGTTTCACCATGTTGGGCATGCTGGTCTTGAACTCCTGACTTCAGGTGATCTGCCTGCCTCGGCTGCCCAATGTGCTGGGATTACAGCTGTGAGCCACTGTGGCCGGCCCTAACTTAGGTTTTAAGTAGTAACAGTAAAGCCATGCATTGAAAATATTTTATCTTTTCTTTAGGTAAGAAATAGAAATCATTTTTGTGCTTAGCTACAAATGATAAATGAGAAAATATAAAATAACCAGCAACCAAGCTGCCAGTATTATTTTTGTGGTGTCATAAAATGATATGGTTATATGTAGACTTTTGAAAATCTGAAATGAAAAAATTCTAGTTCTGTGGAATATAATTCTTCATTGAGATCTGAGTTTGTTTATGTTAATTTTTTTTTTCAGTGTTAATTCACTTTATTTTTCTTATATAAAAACCCTATGTTGTAGCTACAGTTGGAGCTTGAGTCATCTGCATGGAGACTTTGGTGTGGGTCTTGACAAGGTGGTCACTGAATTCCTGATAGGGAGACTTGGTGAATACAGTCTCCTTCCAGAGGTCAGGGGTCAGGAAGCTGTAGGTCTTAGAGATGGCATCAAAGATGGCCTTGGTGAAGCTACCCAGGGTGGCAGTGCAGCCCCTGGCTGAGGTATAGCAGTCATTGATACCGGCCATCATGAGCAGCTTCTTGGGAATAGGCGCCAAGATGATGCCGGTGCCACTGGGTGAGGGGAAGAGGTGCAAAAGCACAGAGCTGCAGTGACCTGTCACCTTGCAAGGGACAGTGTGGGGCTTGCTGATCTTGTTCCCCTAGTAACCTCTGCACGGAGACAATGGAGAGCTTGGCTAGGATGATGATGCCATGGATGGCAGTGCCCACCTCCTTGTAGCACTTAACACCTAGAAATGGCCATTGTAGTCCTCAGTGACAACAAATACCTTGAACCTGGTGTGCTGGCTGTCTGGTTCTGCACCCACATATCTTCAAAACCTCGTCCTTAGAGAGGCCCCCAGGAAAAGTCAATGATCTCAGATTCCTTGATGGGCAGGGAGAAGAGGTAGATTTCCTCCAGGGACTTGATCTTCATGTCCTTGACCAGGTGGCCCAGCTTGGTGACAGGCATCCACTCCTTATCCTCGGCCTTGCTTTGGCGAGCTGCACAGCCTAGGCCCTGGCCCTGGCCTCATCTGCTGCCATGACCTGGGCCCCGGATGCCACTGCAGAAACCTCTGCGGGAAACCTCCGCAGAAACCTTGGTGGAAGCCACTGGGGTCCCTGGGACCTTCGGTCCCCCCCCCCCCCCACTGTCCCCTATTGAAGTCATTTGCCATTTGGTGTCTTCTCAGAGAAGAAGTAAAAAATGTTTTTATAGGCCAGGTGTGGTGGCTCACGCCTGTAATCACAGCACTTTGGGAGGCGGAGGCAGAGGCAGGAGATCAAGACCATCCTGGCTAACATGGTGAACCCCGTCTCTACTAAAAATACAAAAAATTATCTGGGTGTGGTGGCACATGCCTGTAGTCCCTGCTACTCGGGAAGCTAAGGCAGGAGGATAGCTTGAACCTGGGAGGCAGAGGTTGCAGCCAAGCTGGTGCCATTGCACTCCAGCCTGGGGAACAGAGTGAGACTCTGTCTTCAAACA